CATGAGCCACGTCAATGCGCCTAAAACTGCCAGATTCATCATGCAGAGAGAAGTTGTGCACTAAGAGTGATATTTGGCATCAACGTGATCTTACATACACATTTTCTAGATTACCCACCACTGAGACCAAACCATTAAACCATGAGAGGGGAGCAGAGACCAATGACCAGCCAGCCTGTCCGACAGAACCTCAGCTTGGAGAAGGGACAGGTTTCACACTCAGAGCTCCATTTTGTTAAGGGTTTGACTTCACTTGCATTCCAATTCCAGATAGTTTATAAATACCTGTGCAGCTCGTTTGACAGAAAAAGATTTACAGCAGGGAGAATAATGCACGATGGAAAACATCTTTAGGTCACATCACTTTTAGGCACTTTCAGGCTGTCCAACTTTGCTTTGTTAAATGTTACATTTTTGTTATTTTCCCCTATTTTCTGGTATTTGTGTATAAATCTCAAGTGATTTTTAAAGGTCAGATGTTTTTACTGGTGGAAAACCCCTCTGATAAAGGCAAAAGTTGTTGTTTTTTTAATAAATAAATCTCTCAGCTTATTTTCATTGAACATTTCGCACTCCTTTCAGACCAGCTGGGTACTATTATATTGCATTGTGTTGTGTTGTAAAGTTTTATAAATGTTGGAATTCCCTGTTATAATTAAACTTTTATATGTTTTTATGTTTAAAAAAAAAGTAAAATCTTTAAGAAAAATGTTCTACCACCTCTTAAAGCAATACATCTTGTGCAGAATTTTACTTTTGGTCAAATGTTAATGACTGCAGCAGCATTCCAAAATGTTCTCAATCTATGTTCTAACTTTAATGTCACAGACAGGCTGATGGCTTTAATTTACTGTTCTGCTTGCAGTTCCAGCCTCAGCTTGCAATGCCGCAGACAAACCTTAGGCTGAGCTTTTGTACAGCAAATCTGTTTTCCTCCACCAGAGAGAGCTGTTTTAACTTGACAATAACATCAGTAGTGGGAACACCACAAATACATCTTTTTTTGCCTGAACAATTCTGATGTATTACTTGTTTGTTTAATGTATTAAAATGTTTTAAATACCTTGTCCAAGTCTACTGTAGTTTAAACCAAAGACATGTCAATAATGATTACAGTGAGTTTAAAGGGTCACACTCCCCAGCACCAGGTACCTTCACAACAAAAATGACAGACACTGATCTTTTTGTGCACTTTATTTACTCCTTCAACATGGTTAATCATCCCAAAAGCCAGAGCTTATCTGAGGAAAGGTTCCTATGCTATACAACACGAGTTAGGAATAAGTTACCCAACGAGTACTTCGAGTCCGAAGGACATAATGGGGAAATAAAAGACCCTTCCCACTTGAAACTTAACTCTTCCTTTAAAACTGCCCATCCTCTCAAGTTTCACATAACAGAAGCATTTAGAGAGCAAAAATAAGATTTCACCCTTTCACTTCAAAATAAAACAAAAACATTTTTATTTAACAAATTAACCTAAAAGAAAAACACAGTAAAAAAGAGACAACCATAGCAATTAAAAGTAGGGAAACTGTTGTAATCTTCCTGGGCAAAGCCATGAAACCAGGACTATTTATTTAATGTGAATACACAACAGGAGTGTGTGGAAACAGTTTTCTTAATTTAAATTAGTAACACCACACAGGCAAGTTCAAATGGTCATGCTATTGGTATATAGAAACTGAGGGGAGGGGAAGGGGAGGTATGTCACTCTAAATATACTAAATGTAAATATTAACATATATGAACAACTCCAGTGCAACCAGGTAGCATGGACAATCCTTTTCAGTGTGGTAGTGTTGGCAGGATGTGCTCCTTTACTTCTCTTCACACCACTGGTTCTCTTTGCGTACCTGTTGATGAGAGAAGGGACAAACTTGCTGGGTGTGTACGGCACATCAAGTGACAAAGCTGTGCCCTCTCACACAGATAGTAAGTCGTTTTTTTTTTTTACTTGAGTTCTATGCTGAAAACATTCACTACTTCTAACTTACATTAAGACCTTTTTGTTTTCTGACAGAAAGGTGGAATAATTACCTGGGCTTCCTCCTCCTCTGTGAAATCATTTTTGATGTTGAAAGTCTTCCTGATCTCCTCTGGGGTTTTGCCTTTGATCATGTTGGCCACTGTCTTGCAGGTGACATCTAGCAGGCCTTTGATATCCAAATAGTTGGCGGCCTAAAGAGAAAAGACAACTGTGAATCTAGGAGGAGCAGATAACATCTGTAAAGACTCACTGACACCTTCGCGTTGACACTTACAGGCAGGAGCTAAAAGCTTGTCAGCAACCCTACAGAGAAACTGTAAATGGCTACACAAATGTAGCTGTCATGTTTCAGTGCAATTGTTAAATATCATGCAATTTGTATACGAGTCCCTTATCTGGATAAGAGAGACATATAAATGCAAATATGAATGCACACAGAATGTAATCAATGAGCCAGACGCATCTGGAGGTGGAGGCTGTGACTGGATCTCATACAGATGGAAAATCTTGGGAATAAAATCTACCCAGTGCGTTTAAAGGTCACCTAACATTGCCTCTTCCTCTTCAGTGTTTTCCAACCAGTACTTTGTCAGAATTAAGTTAAGATTTGAAGTGAAAAACAAAGAATTTTCTGTGGTTGGCACGTGAAGGTAAGGTGGAAATTTTTCCGGAGAGCTGCCAGAAAAATTTCATTATGCTATGCATAATGACAATAAAGATTCTTGGCTTGACTAGCTTCAGAAAGCCCAGCTAAAGCTTCCAGTAGTAGCTTTCAGTGACCCATGAACATCATTATTTGCCATCCCTGCCAAATAACTGTGCATGGATATTTGTTAGCAAGGCAGGCACTGCAAAAATATAGAGACAATAATGAAACTTGTGTTTCTCTTACTGCAAGTCCAAAGCTGTACCAACACCCGTTTCCCAATCTGTCCCAGGAACGGCTTCGGTTCCCTGTCATGCTCTGCATGGTTTACCTTCACGTGCCAACCACAGAAAATTCTCTCTGTTTTTCACTTCAAATCTTAACTTAATTCTGACAAAGTACTGGTTGGAAAACACTGATCAACTGGGCGTCTATGCATGTGTTGGTTGACAAAAAAACTTAAAATGAACACTGGAGAATCACCTCCATGTCAGAAGTAAAAATATACAACTGCTAACTTTTAAGTAACACCAAATTGTTTTGGTTGAAATTCAGCTGAAGATTGAGTTCTGACATGTAAGTGTCATGGGTAAGGTTCATGCCAACCTCTAGGGGAATAAAATGTAAATGTAATCTAATGTGAACTGTATTTACCAGAATGAGTTCGAACAAGGTGCCCTGGTCCACTTTGAGGAACTCCTGGTCCCATACAGGAATGTCATCTGTCCTCTTCTCCTTGTTCTCATCATCCTCAGGAGGAGGAGGGTCATCTTTGTGATGAGTGCACCACTGAATCACCTAATGGCATCCAGCAGATGTGAATTTAAGATTGCACACAGTGTTAGAGAAAAAAATACCAGGCATCTCTGCCTCCTTCTCCCACAGATGTGATTAGTTGGTTTGCTGACAGGAACAAGTTTGCAAAGGGAAAAGGAAACAAATAGCCTGTGCTTCAAAGTGTGATCGATTAACTGTAAAAGTCTGATTATAATGTGAAGACAAAACAGATACACAGTCAGCTGCACCAAACTCAAGCAAAACAAGTTTAATACAACCATCTTAAATCCTGCCTTCAAAAATGTTCTGTTTTTGTTGCAACAGATGTTTTTCTGAGACTGTGTTGTCCACCCTTTTCATACTAATGAATGTAGACCAATGGAAACATTAGAAAGCACCACATCTATGCTCAAATTAAATTAAAAACTACACTTGACAATCAGTAACTTGGGCGTGTTTGCTGAAACACCCAAATTACTACTGTAAAGATTAATGGTGACCATGTATGTGAATCATGATCTACAACACAAAAACTAACAAACCATTCAATGTGAAGGATACCCATTAAATCTTAACATATCTAAGGTTTGACTGTCACAGCACATCACTGAAACCAGTCCTTGTGTAGAAACAAAACTGTTGTACACAGGTGATCAACAGAGGCTTCCTCCTGCATGCATGCATGCATGTGTGTATTTTATACCTTCTTGAGGATGGCAGCATTCACATTAGGGAGGGGAACAGGGTCATCATCTCCTTCATCATCCATTCCCAAATCTGCCAAAGAATCAGTGAATGTCATACATCAGTCTGCACTATGGTAGTGCAATTTGCTGCAGAGAAGTAAACTTGTATACAAGTCAGCTGTGAGGTCAGGACACAGACTTAAAATTGTGTAATAATTTGAAAGGTAACTACCTTCTAACATGGTCTTAATGGTGACAGACTGTTTGGCTATCTCAACATCCACCTCAAAGATTTCTCCATCAGAGCTCTGCAGCTTTATTGTGGGCATTATCTGTAAAGCAAAACAAAATATTTAGATTATTAAATAGCTTTTACATTAACATATACGTACACGATTTGATTGGCATGCACTGTAAACACACATCAACAGCGATTCTGTCTGGTTACTGCTATAGCTACAGCTACCGCAACTAATATTGATATGATTGCTACTTGACAACTTGTGTTTTCACCATAACTAAGTAGCTAACTTACAGCAGAAAAGATAAGCCTGGCATAAATGTAAATACATTTAAGGCTACCTACGCAGTCATGTCTAAGAGCAAGATTAACTCAATCGACAAGTGGCTAGCGTCATGGCGTTAACATAACCTCCAAGCTAACCAACGATCCATTAACGTTAGGTAAGCGACGACAATGCTAATCAAGTAGCTAGCCTGCTACAAGCTAGCTAGCGGACAATATTTATAACTGACTAAAAGGGGGTCCTCGTTAACGCTAAAACACTAGGTCTGCGTCTTAAATGTCCCATAAAGGTGCATATGTTGGGTGTTTTTTACAACCAAAATAACCCTCTTATCATGGTTAAATAGTAAGCTACCCAGGCAGCTAGCATTACCATGCACATCTTAGCTTAACGTTAGTATAGCGCTTTGCGACGTCAGTGAGGCCTCGTAGCAACCAAGTCGAAGCTATTCAAATTACGATATAAACACATTTGACCCCAGTCTCCACAAGCGAATAAAACCTAAAACGTTTGCGAAACTACGTACCGTAAAAGTATTAACTCAAATCTAAAGATAAAATCCTCCTCAGACAACAGCACAGCCTTGGAGAAACCGAACAACACCTAGAAGTCTCTGGATCAAGCTTGTACACTTGCCGCCCCGAGGCTGCCGGTGGCTAATTCTGATACTGGAAGACAAGAGGGAGCCGACCGCATGGAGCCTGCTTTTCCTGTTTGTTTTTTTTTATTTTATTATACCTCACTTCGTCATTTGGCTCACATAAAAAAAAAAGATTTAGATTTAAAATTTATTTAGTAAACGTTTTTGTACACAATCTTTCAGTTCTTGCATAACTTAAAAAAAATATATTTTTACCTCAATCTCCACTAAACAAACATAGGTGAAAAGTAACCACATACATTTTACTCAAGTAACGTTACTGGAACCTAATTAAGTGCAGCTGAGGTATTTGTACTTGGAGTATTTTCATTTTCTGCTTCTTCATACTTGGCCCCCTATATTTCAGATACAAATGTTGTACTTTTTACTACACTATATTTATTTGATGTTACTTTTCAGAATCAGACCAATAAAACAAAATACAGTATAATCATGCGACTAACGCTACAAATTAAAGGTCGGGCCATCTAACAGGACACATGTGAGGGTTGAGATCAATGGAAAAGGAAATAATAAAAAACACGGGTTTAATCATTGATAGTTGTATTTTGTACTTAAAGTTTGTCATGTGTTTGTCAAATATTAACTTGAAAAGTATTTCATAATAATTACCTAATGAAAAGTTGCAATGGTCCACTAGCTTTAAGTTTTGAAAAACTCAGGTCTATGTGCATGATGTAGTGATTTAATCCCCCACGGGGTGGCGCTTTGTGAATCCATTACACAAATGTTAATCTCTTCTAAAATATGACCTTATTCTAATATTTACTTTTAAAGTAAAATCATCTTTGCATACCCAAACTTGCCAACCCCTTTTACTGGCAAAATGAGAAAAATAATTTTTATTTATATAAACACAGAGGTCCTGATAAATAATTCCACTGTGAGACAGTTCTTACCATTACAGTGACCCTCATCAGTGTGCACACCCTGATCCATTGCCTTAATGCAGCACTGCCAGCCACACTGTGATCCAGGCGGAAGACCTGCTCACTGGCTGGGTGAACTGGTCGGCCTCCAGTAGGTTAAACTCAAAATGAATTACAGCTCAGAGGGACATAACACCAGTTCTCTCATTCAAATTCTTCATAAAGGAAAAAAAGAATAGCACTTTCATATCAAGGAGCCACCTTTGTCTTTATTATTCAAACAGTTTGTTAATACAGACTCTGTAGTTCAGAGGGAGTCAGTAATCATATACACCAAGCTGGGTCACTGCATAAGAAGGGTTTCCTTAAAACGTTCACAGGGCAAAGAATGCTTGTGTCAAACTTGCCTGCTGGGGGCTTTATTTGTAATTTAAAAAAAAAAAAAAAAAAAAAGTAAATCAAAACAGGCGCCTAGCAATGGTTGGTAAGCACCATCTGTCCTTTGATGAGCGGGCTGAAACCTATGACGTCATGAGCGGTCACGTTAGCCTGTCTGACTGAGTTTAGTTTAGTTAGAAACTGAAACACAGAAACAAGGGAGCAAGTTAAGTCAGCTCCTGTTACTTATTCATTTTACTTAGATTTATAAAAGTGCAAACACATCATGTTCAGACCTCCTAAATATAATAAGCCATGGCATGTGGGATTCAAACAGCTGCATCTGAAACAGCCTTTTTTTTTTTTGTTTTGGACCTCAGTGCCTCAAGTCCAGCCACACAGGAATTTAAACATCACTATGTGACATAGTCGGGGAGCTTTTCAATGAGTCCTCAGCAATGAATATTGCAAAGAGTATGGCACACACCTTTTGGTCCATTCACAGACACACAAACATTGTTTATGCAAAATGCTTAAATAGGTCTTTCTGTGGATATACAATGTGCACTGCTCTGTAGTGCCCCCAGTGTCCCACCTTCCCCTTCCTCACTCATGTTGTCATTTGAAGGTCATATCATAGCAATACTGGACTGTACAAGGGTCAAAGGTCAGAATTTACAGGAAGTAGTCAGGGGTGCGGCGAGTGACATGAGGCTCCCCTCTGCGGGGTGCGGGATCAAACTGCAAGCTGCACAGAAGAGGGAATAAAAAGCAAGAAAAGAAAGTTATACATATTCTAAGCATGTCACCATTAAGTAATTATTTTGCAGAATTACATGGACAACTCCAGTTTTAATTTTTTTTTATAAATGTACTTACAATGAGTATTTGAGCGTGTCGTCTAGCTCCATGATAGCTGCCTGGTTGCCACAGCGGTAACAGTAATTGGGAGCACTAAATATTGTCACCACATTTCTCTCATGGCACCAGTTGTAACCCTGGGGGAAACAGATGCATTACTCACTGCAGACAAGGCACTACTATGTTACACATCTAAAGAATACACCATGTTCTTAAACTAAGTATCAGAGGCCTAGTACAGTAGGTGGTATAACTGCTTAGCCTTTTATTTTGGTTGGGAGAAATCCTGGTTTCAATTCTACTTTTATCCAAGTTTAATTCAGTCTCTTCTGAGATTTAAATTGACAGTAGTCACATGTGTATATCTCAACTGTTAACCAACAATCATTCACATATGCTATAATACAGAAAGCCTGGTAAAATTATAAAAATGCATGGTGACTTTCAAAAACAGCCACTGTGGCTAGCTGGTGTAACCCATATAGAGACACAAACCTCCATAACCAGCTGGTGAGCACGGGACACCAGTGTCAGGCGGTTGGCATGGTTGAAAGTCTCAGAGATGTCCTGACCAAATGTGTAGCCAGCACCTCGAGGAGAGATGCCCCAGCCACCGCGGTCATCGGGGTCTGACCACAGCAGGTCACACATGGGACCCTGTGGAGGACCAAGAGGAAGAGGAGAATGATCCGGAATTATGGAGATAAGAGTATCAACATACAAGTATCGGTCAAGATCAAGTCACTTTTACAAACATTTGCTGATGGTTATTTTTTGACCAAACCCTGTCAATGTTAATATTGTTTCTGACCATGACGTAGCTTACAACTTTACCTCATGTGGCACTTCCTGTAAACGGTCCAGTGCTCTGATGTGATCCAATGTATCTATGGATGGTGACAGGCCTCCATGAAGGCAGAAAATCTGGAAGCACAAGGAACATTTGACTATTAGTAGTGAATACAAATACTTCTCTCTGACTAACACTTTTTGCATCCATCTCATCAAAACCTGTCCTTCCCTAACCAGTATGTTTATGCTTCTATCCACAGAGCAACACTAAATTTTGTCCAAACATGTTCACACACTGGACAGTCCACATTTTTTACATCTGTGAAACCAACCACACTGATGCGAATTCTCACCTGAGAGTCTACCAAGGCAGTGAGGGGCAGGTAGTCGAATAGGTCTGTGAAGTACTTCCAAACATTGGCGTTCCCGTATTTCCTTAAGCACTCATCATAAAAGCCGTACACTTGTGTGATCTGTCTGCTCTCGTGGTTCCCTCTGAGGATTGTGATGCGCTCCCGGAAGCGTACCTGAAACACGGGCAGAGAACAGAGCTACAGGCCGAGGCTTTCCTAAAAGGTCCAATTAAATGTCAGTTCTCAGAACAAGTCAAATGTGTGAGGACGTTTTAAATTACCACTCACCTTAAGTGCTACTAGTAAAGAGACAGTTTCTACAGAGTAGTACCCTCTGTCCACATAGTCTCCCATGAATAAATAGTTTGTGTCTGGAGATTTTCCTCCGATCTTGAACAGCTCCATGAGGTCGTGGAACTGGCCATGCACGTCGCCACACACTGTCACCGGACACCTCACCTCCTGGACATTTGACTCCTTGGTCAGGATCTCTTTTGCCTGGAGAAAACATACACATTTTAACTCCGGGTCATCAATTGAAAAACAAAGAGCCACAAGGTATAGTTAAAGACAGAGACTCAAGCTGGTTCTTTATATAAAACATGTGGCAACTGATTACATTCACAATCCTGCAACACTGTTTATTTAGATATGAAAAGTATCAATAACGTGACTTCTTTTTTTTTTTTTTAAACATGTATAGCATTTATCCAATGTGCTGCTTTGCTGTGTTCTACTCTTTCAGATGCAGGAAAATGCATAAGATCCTACAAACTTCATTTCAGGAAAGCACAATTTCCAGTTGACATCAAGTCGCTACACAGTGATTGAAACTAGCGCCAATATCTCCACCATAATCTCTCTAGGGAAATAAGCTCCTGCCCTGTATGTGCATCTAGTTTCTTGTGGGCCTGCACCTGCAAAAACAGCTCTGGTTGTACTGCAACATTTCCTAAAGTCCATTAGTATGATGATCCAAAAGGTGAGGACAGGCAGGCAGCTCAACCAAAATGTAGAACTGAAGTAGTAAATGTTTTTCTTGAACACAGTTCAGCCTACTTAGAGTTCACCATGAAGAAGTCTAAAACATGGTGCTGCAGTGCGCGAGACTCAGTATGTGGCCCACAGCTACAGTTTTTGGAAGAAACACGAGGGTTACGGTTGTCTGCTGATTCAGTGCAAACAAGAGAGGGTTATTGCTTGAGTCAGTCTTGTTTGGTAGCCTGGTATTACAGCTGGATGAGCACTTATAAGATCTTTACAGCAAGCAAGTCCTCAGAGAGAGATTCTCCTGGTTCAACAACCACCACTTTACAGACAGTCTATGGTTTGAGCTTGGTGTTTTGCCAGTCACACATTCTGAGCAGCCCCGCCCAAATTTTTATACTGTGTTCCCTTTAAAACCAAATGTGAGCAGGGAGGGAGAAAGAGGGAGCTGACACTGACAGCATGCTAAGGTTGGCCTGTCACCCTGGCAGATGAGACAGCCAGTTACAGTCCCACAGCGACCACGAGGGGACTGCAGCTGCACAGCACTGACCTATATTACACACACACTCCGGGTGCCCATTACTACCATGTGGCAGGATGACAGACCGACAGGGGCTTTGAACTCTAAACAAGTGAATCACTAAGCCATAGAATATTCTACATGTCAGTGCTCAAGTGGAACAGTATTAAATTGTTCATCTGCCCATTTCTCCCATCCAAATAATTCTGAGATGAAGGGAAATTGACAAATGTGCCTGTGATCCTGACATTTTTCTGTCATGGTCCATGATGGCCTTTTGGACTACATCGTATCGTTTTTGGCTACTAAATAGTACTACTAGAGGGACACGAATATATTGTGAATTAAAGTCCAGGATTTTTGTTGGCATCTTGCCGTTGACTGTTGCTGCAGTGTTCCTTGGTTTTGTTCAGCCATGCAGGCTATCACTAATGAAGCCAACTATCCAGTCCCTCCTCTGGGTTGAATCTATATTGCTTGGACTGGAAATATAAAAAATCCTCTTTAATTCAGATCAGCGGATTCCCCGGAAGAAAACACCTGACACTTTAAACACAAGCAGAGCAGCTCAGTCAAACCAAATATTCCAACGCTTCATCTCTTCTACCTCAGGCTAATTCATTAGGACGTCTTGTACAAGTTGGATATACAAAGCATGACGCTACATGTGGCCTGTAGCTCTAGAACCTTACACTAACTCCATGAGTCATATGTTCAGTGATGCATCACATATCACCTCTGTGCCCCAAACTGGCTCAGCTGATTAGAACATGGTTAATGTGCACTTTGTACGAGTCCAGCACACTGACAAGTACAAGCTATATTTTATATCATTGCATCTCCCTGCCCACTCAAGATAGCTTTGGTAGAAACCCTGAAGTTGCTGTACTCAGTGGTTTCAGTTACAAATTGTCAACATCATCCATCACCTGCACCTTACAAGAAAAAAAAAAAATCCTGTATCCTTTCATTTTGACAATTTCATTTTCTGATCATGCAACAAACATGACAAAACAAAACTTTATGCAGAATTAAGTTCTACATGACCAAATATTATATACAACTGGATGAAGTAATGTGACATTGCACCATGACAACTTTTTCATAAGTCAGAATTTAAGATGTTTATTCATGAGGTGGCTGATGCCAGCATGTACTGTACCACAGATGCCACTACAGCTGTGAATGAAAAGGATGACGGCAGAGGTTATGTAAGCACCTCTCCCAAAGTACAGACCACACCTATAAGCACAAATGCCATAGAGGCTACAGGGAGGGAAACTCAGACCAGATTACAGCTACAGCCGAGGCGCCAGACACAACATTGTTAAAATGTTTAGCCAAGTGCTGAGAAGTGAAGTCAGCATTTTCCCAGTTGCTGCAATATAATCCCATTAAACTGAGATCAACACAGCCGAGGTTCTCCTGGAAACAAGTGAGCCTGACGACCAGGCAAAGCTACAACCACAAACGCTGACCTCAGATGTTTACGGCAGTACAATGTTAAACCTCTGCCCGAGAACACATAGTCAGCATTGAAATGAGCACCTCAAGCAGCTGAAGATGGACTTTGTCTATGTTGTCAGCTTGTCTATAATGAGTCTGTGAATTTTTTTTTGATTTACCATTAATCTACCTTTCTGTACACTGGCTTATTAAACATTTGGAGCAGTTCTTCTGAATGACTCCTTCAGTTTGTAAACAAAGCTTTAATTTCCCTTGACTAACTTGTTCAAACTGGTTTGAACAAAGGTCTCAGTCAGTGGGCCAACTATTGCCACATGACCAAACATCATTTGGACAGACCTCAGATGAAACAAAATTATATTAATGTTTAATGATGAACTCAAATAAGAATTTCTTCAGCTTTCATAAGCAAATTTCCTATTTATGTTGCTGTACAATTTACAACTGTCTTCTGTGTAAAACACTTGATAATCTCCATCTGAAGATGAGACAAATGAACTGGAGCTACTAGTCTAAGTGATTAGTAAACAGCGTCTCATAAGAGAATCCAATAAGCAGTGACAAACAACACAGGGTTTGAACCTTGAAAGACAAACAATATCCAAGTGGTTATACAACTCTCAAGGTTTACTTCTGAAAAGAGGAGAAAGGAAAAGATTACATCTGTCTGAGGTACACAACGCATGTAATTATATTTACTGTGTGAAACTGGCAGGCACAAACACACAGCATCATCTGCAGTCGCTTATTTTAACACCAGCAACTGGATTAAACACTATTAAATGATCAAACAGGTGACATCACTGCTCTGTGAGCAAACAAGAAGACTCCTGGAGGTTTGAGAAGAGAGAGAGATTTGATTTGATTTGATTTATTCTTTCAAGCATGTAAAAACAGTTGATATGACAACACACATAATTTTACACACAATCAAATATCAATTTGCTTATACCTAGTTCATGCTTGAATGGAGTGGGAAGAAGTCAGACTTATCCAGTCCTACCCCATGACATCATCTTACCATCATTGGTTTGCAAGCAGTAAATAATTCACTTCTACCCACACACATATTATACTAAAAAAAGATT